AAATTAACGCCTTGACTTTCACAGCTCATAACTCAATGGATTTTAAAGCTATCTTGATGGTTTGATATTCAAAAGAAAGCTTACGATCTATGAATTCTTTTAAATATTAAATCATCAAGATAGCTTTAAAATCTATCGAGATATGAGCTGTGAAAGTTAAGGCATTGATTTTTTTTCAAATGTAGATCTACCTGATTTCTATTGACGGCAGCCCATCTAATTCTAAATCTAATGTCGCGCAATAATTTTTATGGCATGTATGGGTAATATTTTTGGAGTCATGATCTATGTTGCTTCTGAAGTTTTATCAGGCAATGAGCAGTTTACAGGTGATTGATTCATTAATTAAACAATTATAATAACTTAGATTCTTTAATAGATTACACGACAAATCAGCATTTAAATATGATGCAGCCTTAATTTCCTTAAAATAACCAATAAGTTAATTTTTATTCATATCCAAATACAAAATCCTTAATGTTATTGTTAATTTCGACAATTATCAAAATGCCAATTACAATTTTTTAGGAGCAAAATATTAAGGCATTGTTCTTCTTATTAGTATTATATTGCTTTTTGCATACCGTAAATAGCGGGCATCTGCGCGCTATTTTGACTATGTGCGTGTTATTTCGAATACGCCCATGGGCGTTATTTTGAGACAAAGTATTAACTTTGCAATCCAATTGATACTTATCTTATAAAAAGGTCGAATGAATAAGTATCAGGTAAATATCGGATACAAGACTTCTAGTATGCTACCGATATGCTATATTTAGCACATCGGGAGTTTTGTATTCTAATATTTACCTGATCCTTGCTCTTCAAGGTGCACACTATTTCGGGACACACATGGGCATTATTTCGAAACTATCTATGCTATTTTTAGGGGTGTGATTTTTGAAATAGCGCCCCTGCCCGCTATTTCGAGAAATTACAGTAAATTTTTAAGTTAGAAAGCCATTATAAATATAGGTAGGTCTCTTTTTTTTTTGTTCTTTCTTTGAAAGAAATAGAACAGTTAGTCTCATTTTTACACGAGATTATTTTATATGAGCCAAATGCTACAAATACGAATAAACAGCCAATCATATGTATTATTTGCCATGAAAATGTTTGCCTGGGTCTTGAAAAATCAATAATGATCCTAACTTGCAAGCATTTTTTCCACAAGGAATGTATTGAGAACTTCGATGGTTGCCCACTCTGTCCGGCAGAATCTGATGATAAAATGCAAGGTCAGCTAGTTTTAATAATCGTGCAAATGATCAATATTATAATTTGTCACTTGATCACACAACATCTAATAACACAATAATGCCAAAACTCACACCACCTACTACGCCGCACACAACTCCACGCACCACATCAAACACCACGCCGTGCACTACACCAAATACCACGTCACGGATTACACCAAATACTACACCTGCTGCTGCAACCACGCTGCCTGTTACTGCAACCACACCGCCCGTTACTGCAACCACATCGCCCACTGCAACCACACTGCGCATTACACCAAATACTACACCTGCTGCTGCAACCACGCTGCCTGTTACTGCAACCACGCCACCCGTTACTGCAACCACATCGCCCGCTGCTGCAACTATGCCGCCCGCTGCTGCAACCACGCCGCATATTACTGCGCCCACCACACCGCCTGCTACCACTGCAATACCACTGCTATGCCTGCTGTCGCCAACACACAACCTACTGCTACTGCCGGTGCTGTCACCACCACACTACCTACTGCTACTATTGATAAAAATGATAAAAATATTACGAATTATAAATGAACTTAGGGATGATGATCAAATGATGGATATTGACGAGGTGTTAAATATTAGGTAAGATTATGTTATGAAATTAATTTATTGAATTAAAAAAAACAAACTTTATACTGCAATACCGTAATTCTCGAAATAGTGGACATCTGCATGCTATTTTGACTACGTGCGCATTATTTCGAATATGCCCATGGGCGTTATTTCAAGATAAATGGGTCACAACTCACATAAATAAGTATGAAAAATGGGATCTTTACAACGTTGATGTTGTTACACAACTGATTTTACACACACGGTGTAAAATACATAAAAAAAATATTTTACAATACTTGATCGGACTTTGATTATAATTCCACACAATTTTTTTATAATAAAAAATGGTGTGGGATTATATCATAATATGTACTAACTGACTGATCTAGTCCAATCAAGTATTGTAAAATATTTTTTTATGTATTTCACACCGTGTGTAAAATCAGTCATATAACATCAACATTTCCTCCTGTTGATCTTTACATCAAAATCTTCAAATGAAATGGGTCAAAAAATTAGAATTACTAACTTATATTATATTTGATCTTCAATTAATTCATTCGCATAATATTATTCATCGTGATTTACATAGTGGAAATATTTTCCAAAATGATTTATATAATGCTTATATTGGTGATTTAGGTTTTGCTACTGCAATTAATAAAATATTAGACTCGAAAACTAAAGGTGTTTATGGAGCTTTGCCATACATTGCTCCTGAAATTTTACGTGGAAGCATATTCACTAAAGCATCAGATATTTATTCTTTTGGAATGATTATGTGGGAAATTTTTTCTGAATATGTTGTATTTTCTGAATATGTATATGATAATTTAAGACTAACTATAGACATTTGTAAAGGATTAAGGCCGACTATGATATATATATTAAGAAGTATTAACAGGCATATTTGCTTGGACATGAATGTCCGATTATTTTTAGAGGTGTTGGAGTGAAGATTTAGAAAAACGACCAACAGCTTTAGAAATTCATAAAACTATTTTAAATTGTATATTAATTCGATTAAGTATTAATTTTGCCATCCAATTGTTACTAATATTATAAAAAGGTCGAATGGATAAGAATCGGGTAAATAACAGATACAAGACTTCTGATATGCTACCAATATGTTATATTTAGCACATCGGGAGTTTTGTATTCTGATATTTACCTGATCCTTGCTCTTCGAGGTGCGCGCTATTTCGGGACGCGCATGGGCGTTATTTCGAAACCACCTATGCTATTTTTAGGGGTGTGATTTTCGAAATAACGTCCCTGCCCGTTATTTCAAGAAATTACGGTAATTGTTTTTATTAAATTATATGGATTTTTTATTAACTATTTACAATCTTAATTATAGAATAGAAGAAGCACCTCCCCTGGTACAACTATATATTAATGCAAGACGTGCCGCCAGATGTGCAAGTGAGTGAAATCAATTAGAAATAAAAAGCTGGTATCAATATGCAGAGGGGTTTAAAAGAAAAGTAAATCAAATTTTAAGCAATAGTCGAATTGCTTTAAAGACAGTAAAGACGACTGTCTATATGGAAATCCGTAATCATCTTCCTTCGGTTTCTGAAGAAACGTTAAGAAAGAGAATGCAAAAAGTGAAGAATATTTATAATTTATTTAAAGATATTGGGGGTAAGCAAAATCGATTGAATCAGATCGTTCACTGCTAACCAACTTTCTAAACTTACTCTGCAACAAATTGAGATTATCAAAGCAGGTGTTAATTAAAATATTTGCTTTTCTTTTTCTACTTTTGTATTTAAAATAATTATTTGGGACAAATGATTATTTGGTCTATTCGACAAGTTGATTTGGGGCAATTGTATAGCGATATATATATGTTAAATACATAAAATAAAGTTTAATTTTACCAGAAACGTAGTGAAACAGAGTGTATTTTAATTAATTTAATTATTTTATTTACTTTATTTTATTTGCCTTATAACTGTAAAATAGTGCATAGCATATGGGCAGAAATTTCCAATTTTTGTGATTATATAGGTTGAACGATGAGATTAAATAGATTCCAGGTCAATAAAATATAAAATATGGTGTGATTACAGAGATTAAAAGTGATGATTTGATCAGTAATCATAAAATTGCTTATTAATTGCTTATGAGTTGCTTATGAGTTTTTATATCCCATTTATGAGTAGTGATCCTAGAATAACCCAAAATTAACCTAAATCGGGATCACTGATGAGAAGTACTTAAGAGTTTTTATATGCAATGTCATATGACTATCACTTTTGTTATCACCTAATCATAGTGCTCCAACTAGAAATTTTCGCCCATATGGGGAGTTATTTCAAATTTCGGCCTGAATTAAGCTTAATTTAGACTGAAATTCGAAACCACACCCCATGGTTATACAAATTTTTTAATTTTTACTTTTTTATATGTTCATTTTACCGGGGGACACCAAAGGGAAGGGGAGGGGTGATGTTAACTGAAAAATTAAGTTTAAACAGCCTTAGATTCATTAATAATGCAAGTAAGAAAAACTTTTATAGCAGGTTTATATCTATATTTCTTAAGATTCGGGCTGAGTCATGTAATTATTTGAAGCCGGCTCGGCTTGGCTTGGCTTAAAAAGCCGAGCCAGCCGAGCCGAGCCAATGCCATCCCTAGTTAAACTTAGTAAAACTCTTTTCATTTTAATTCAATGAATATTTGGAACTAAAATAAAAAAATTCATCAAATTAGATCAGTTAGTTGTCAAGAAATCATTGTTCAAAGTTTAATATCTCTTGTAAAAGAAAAACTATACCTTTTTTTTTTAACTTATAGTAATTATTTCTTAATAACTACTCAATCAAATTTGATGAAATTTTTTTATTTTAATTCTACACATTTATAGAATTAAAATAAAAAAATTTTTACTGAATTTTACCTAGTAGTTATCAAGATATTTTTATTTAAATATTAAAAATCATAATTGTAGCCATTTTTCTCAAAGATTTTCAAAATTTTCAATGCTTTTTTAAAACTTTGGTTGAAATTTTCTCAATAACTACCAGGTCATATTCAACAAAAATTTTTTATTTTAATTTATATACTTGTAGCTAGTGTTCCACAAAATGGATCTGAAAATCCAGATCCAATCCGCAATTTATAAGATCCGTTGAATCTGGATCTATAGATAGATCTGACCAGGTAATACCTGATTTGGATCTGTGGATCCATTAGAGTATTATATTTGCAAATTTTTTTTCAAGTTACAGCTATTATTATAACTTCTGAAATATCTGATCCGGTTAAGTTATATATTTCAGGAATAATAAGATTCAAGATGACTAATATATATTACAATAAAGCTTATTCTTTGGTTT